TCCTTCAAAAGATAAGTAGATATCACACAGACACATCCACGTTATGTGATATAGAATCGGTCCATCGAATGAGGACAGAAGGATAGAATAAAACTTGGGCTGTATCAGCTTCCCCTTAAACTCCAGACAGGAATATCTATATCTGTGCAACTGCAAATATCTTAACGATTGCGGAAGCATGTGCTTTATTTGATCGACAATGTGTGTTCATCCTGTTCTTTTTAACCTGACTACCCTACGGGAGTTAGCGAGTGTTCGATTTTTCACCCATATAAAACATTGTACAGACTGCCCGAACCTGTCTGCCTGTAACAAAACGATGTAGGCTTTGTTGTGCCTCTGCACCTTATACCTGCTTGCCTAAATACCGATTTCTTCATTTCTGTGTAGAATAGCAAATTGTGACTTCTTTAGTAGTTGTCGTCGTTGTTCAGTCCCTTCCCCTAACCCGTTATTAGTGAATTTCTTAACAACCGACAAACAGTGGACCGATAATTTTTCCTCGTACCTGACTATAGTAAGCATTACACTATGGCATGCTGCCTCCGATGACCATTACGTTGTGGACAACCAGAGGATATTGACTGAACGTAAATGCTACAGTCAGGAAACAAGCGTCTCTTGTCCAACGTTGTGAGCGCCGTCTAACGCTTGGTGACACGTTGACCACGACTCAGATGACGCAAGCACCGATTTAATGGAACGCATGTACTATTTCAGTTGAATGCTTTTGCCTGAAATCCGATTTAGCAGTGATTCTGAGCAAAAAATGGAGCTTGACTTGAAGCGCATGACAGGCGCAAGTTCACAACACACAGCCATGCACCACGAAGTTGGGCAAATAGCTTGTGGTTGTTCAGTCCGTTGGCCCACATCATCTTAGTTGTGGGTTTTCGCAAACGTCGTATTGAGTACGCCTCCGAGAGTCAGAAGCACTTCTAGTCTAGAATCCAAATAAGCCTTGAGTAAATTCAACATTTGAGCTGCAGAGAACTTCTGATCGCTACACTAATATTAGTTATTTTCCTTGGCTCATTCCAATTCTCCACACGCTTCTCCGTCAGTCCACTTCTAATGTTCCTATCTTGTTTATTAGTCTTTGCTGCTTGGCCAACCTACTTGTTCTCACTTGAGTCCACCCAATTTCGAGATATTCGTTGAACTCCAAAATTTCCCATTAGTTGCTGCATTGACGTAATTGTCGGCATGACCTGCGTCTGCATCGATTACGATTACCTGATCTATTGCCTTATATCACAAGTTTCTTATGAGCGACCCTGAGTCATGACAACTTTTGTGGGGTACTGAGTTAACATAGGATACACCTGTTGTCTCGCGTGACTGAAGCTAGCTTAATGTTGGGTTATGCACTTCGAAATGTTACTGGACTTGGACACCTACATTCTCTCTTTGTACACAATGTCTATTACTTCGGTGCCCAGATTGTAAATCTCCGTAATTTTCACATTAATTTGTGCTACTCACTGCAATAGCATTTTTATACATCGACACACGCACGCACAGCAGCACCATGATCAGTCGGATCAAACAATTCCATGATCATTTCGTTTAAACTAATGTCATGAACGAACCTAGAACTGGTGTGGGTACTTGGACGTGCTCAATCGTCGTGCTCATCCCCCATTTTCACAGTGCTGTTGACAAACCGGTCCCTTAGTAATAACAAGCATCACGTTGAAAAAACGAAGACCAGATTTGATCCTAGTTCCTGAGTTGCTGGCATACGCAATAATGAGTCAACCTAGATTTTGTCACCAGTTATAGATTGCCGTCACTTACAACACATATAGTGTATACGCAAGTTGATAACCCTATGAACCCAGCCATTTCGCCACAACCTGACAAAGCATAGGTTGCCTAACCGTTTGTCTCAGAGTGATCAGGTACCATCCAGTCAGAACCAACGCACTCATCACGATTGATTGACGGTAGTTCTGTTCATGCGCCTATGGTTGGCGGCATCCGATTCCGGATTTGTGTGTCACTGTTGCCTCCATGGGACAGCCACAGGATTCATGCACCTACTGAGGGGACTATTGGTGGTTTGTGTTGCAGCGCCCACGGCTCTATCCACACACCGCATTTCCAATGTAAACCCAAATGAATAAGACCGAGAGGCTTGTGGATGGGAGCCATGTTTCATCAATGGAGCCGGCCCTCACTCTTGCAATCTACACAACAGCAGCATTCCTGTCCATCTAAGTGGAGAAACATGCATACCAGATATACACCAGACGGTGATTGATCCGTAGCACGCTCCACACTGGATGAGTCTACTGTCTGAGCATAGCACGGTCACGAGGAGTGTGTACCGTCCTTCCAAGCTACGACTAACTGCCTTCGGGAGCCAGTTAAACCGAGGTAGAGATTTCTCGACGTGTAGGTACCTTGTCTACATGCACATAAAAAGCAGCCATAGCGGGGTTATCAAACAGCGAATACACAGTATGAAAGAAAATAAATACACAAACTGGACAGTAAATTTGTAGCAGAATAACATAATAGAGTAAAGCAAACAAGCTATATTAAGTGTTATCTGGTGTAAGGATGATTTTGCTCAAGTGAAATTCAGGGGAAATCAATCAACGAGTAACAAAAGCAAAAAAGAAATAGCGTGAGTTCAAAACGAAAGACCGTCATCTGCAAGTGGGTGGTCTACTCAACCGAAGGGAGACCGACATGGTTAGACTTACCACTTTTCGGAAACCGACGCGGCCAGGTCAGTTCTAACATTTCACTCGTTTCATGTGAACGACACCCCAGTGTGCACTAGTAAGAACTTCCTCTCTTGTCAAACATGAATGCGCGAACGCTGTGTAAGTGCGAAAGTACAACTTATAACATGAAAGGAGACATCTTTTGGAGACGTTTCATCCAGAGGCACAGAAGATTCGGGTTACCAAAGAAACGCTATCGCCAGCACAAAAACAGCATTTCCACCTTGACCCCTTATTCCAGTGCAGCACGTAAGAAATGATGACAACGGAACACATAAGGCTGTGCCATTCAGAGCACGTACCTTGTGGCAGAAACTGTTACTTCCTTAGTACCTGGAGATGAGTTTCACCTTGCGCACCCCGAATGCAACTTTCTCCAAGGTTGGCAGGGACCGTCCCCTGCACTGAACCTTAGTGGTAATCAGTTAACCGTCCATCTATTTAAGTGCCTATTCATCTATATTGGCACCTGTAGAATGGAGGATGAGATCACGAACCGTATGGTAAAATCTCGACCTGCTCTCGCTCAATTTCACCTGTAGCATCGGCGCAAAATCACTCTGGCCATCAAGGGTGGTGTCCACAATTCAGTCATCATTTCAACGCTCCTGGACGGTTCCGGAACCTGGCCCATGGGATCAACATACATAAGGAGCATTGTTAGGCTCGATAATCGCCGGTTTTGCAGTTACGCCGGCATCTGGTAGAAACGCCGAGTGAACAGGAAAGCGGATGAACTGCTCACCAGCGCTATATCACAGACCAGGCTCCGAAGGTTGGTTTATGTGCTGCGCATCCACATCGACCCCCTCTATGTGCTTTATTTGCGTCATCTAAGTGCGGATGGAAAAATAGGAGTGCTGGCCCAGCGATGACTTTGTCAAGTGGAATGGTGTTCCTCACTTCGAAGTTGGCATCTGTTGATGTCTGTCGACTGTCGGATTGGGGTCCGAAGGACCATGAACACCTCTGATTGGATAAGATTGATGATATGGCAAAGAGCCGTCCTTTTCCTATCACCAATGTCCATTTGCTTGATGCACTAGTCGAAGTGGCTAAGAGCCGGTCTCAGTGGCGTTTGTGTTGAATTGCTTTCTCCCCTACCACTTATCTTCATCCTCTAACCACGATCTCACACACACAATGCATACTGTGATCTTAAACGTTATAGTACTTCTTGTGTACTGCATTCATCATTTATTTTGTCTTTTATACTTCGGCACAATGGCTGAGTTGGTTCTCACATTTAGGTAATATGTGCCGATGCGAAGGATGAGGATATATTACGTGTAAAGGGGCTAACGCTCTTCAGTTCATATAGGACGGTCTAGATAAAAATGGGGGCAAACCTTGAAAGATGATGATGAAATCATTGAGGTGTTTGCACGGCAACAGTTGTAGTTCCACCTAGTTCGAAGGTAGGAGTACACCGTTTGATAGTTATGTAGCCTCCCATCGACACCAACTCACATTGTGTTTACCGAATTCTGCGTAACTACGGAGTCATTGACACAATTAGAGCTACCAGGGGTTTGAATTCCAGTGTAAACGACCATTTAGCCAGCTTTTTCAGATTAACACCCGTGCGCAGGGAAGCCAATGGCACCATCCCATCAGCAGACCAATGCGATTTCTGTCTTCTTGATTATGTTACCTCACACCAGTTCATTTAGCAATCAATCGTAGTCCTGCACTGGATTAGCTGATACTGTATGTACAAAAGTAAAGACTCGTCAATTATTGTTATCACTATGGACCACTGCTTTACACATGGTTCGTTTGGTAGCGCCCTCTAGTCTGCATAGATGCAACGTTTCGCGTCATCATAATTATGGTGAAGAGACTATTAAATGCACGCGGCTGCTGGTACATCCCTCCACACTACGCCGGTTTGCCGAATGCCATAAACATTCAGCAGGATACAGTTAGAATAAGGTGCACCCGTTGAAAAGAAATGCATGTTCTCTAAAAGTTTCTTAATCTTCAACTAAACCCCACTCTCATTATATCTTTTATTCAGACACCTCTATTCCAGTTGGAGGAACAGTGTATGATTACTTGGTTCTTCAGGTACATTACAAGGACATCAAGTATTTTGCCGCTTCACGTGAGTTCATATTTATTCACCTGACATTTTGCGTGTCTGTTTCAGCAGACCATACGGACAGCAGCGGTTGGCTGCTCACGATGCAGACCACTCCGTAAGCAACAATTGCTGTTACCCTATCAGCCGAAATGTATGCTTTTATTTCTTTTTAACAGGAGCAAGTATCTTGCTGGCATCTATCTATTCGTCATGGATGGCGCAGTGCGGCCGTTCGGTTTCAGTGAGTCATCGGTATTCAGATATCTTATTGTTCCCAAGAATTGCTACATCAACCCCTAGATTGTAATCGAGTCGAGTATGGTATACTTGTCCTCAGTAGCTCGATTAGCATAGACCACGGGCGCATTGTCTCGGACGATGGGAGGGCACTGCCCCGTGCTCATTGGTTTGCTACTGTTCTCCTCAAGCCATGCAGCCGTTAGTCATATTGATACAAACACGCCATCGCCGACCTACGGCTGTCCGTGGTCGCAGGGGCGTAACATACTACGTGAATTGTTCCAAATCCTCGATGGATGCGTGTGACGTACCTCAATTATTTACCAATGTCATGACTGAGATAAACGCAGCGATTGGTTGGCTCAACGAAGTTGGTCAATAATCCACTCGATACAGTCGAATGTCATGAGACGAGCAAGCACGCACGAAGATGCACACATGGTGAAAACATAGACGCGTTGGCCGGTAGGTCCATGATGCTCACCTTCAACCGTAGTCGCAGTCCGACCTTACAGCCGTGGCAAAATGATAATTTGTATCGGTGTTCTGTGCTTGCACAACTTCGGCTGAAGTAGTCTGATTGCAAAGACCTCAGCAGTGGCCAACAAGCAATTTATCATTCGTTTGCGGTTGCGCCTCGGTACCGTGTAGACTACTTGTAGACAACTGAACGCATCATCAGTTCGAATCTGATGACCGATACTAGACACATGTTCGCGAATAGAGGACATTCTTAACCGTACAATGTTACAAAGAGGCGGGCTGGTGCTCCGCTATCCACTTGGAGTCACTCCTAGTCGTGTGCCCGAGGTACCCTGCACCACAGGTGCAGGTGAACCACGCGCCTAACTAGGTCATGGGTCAACAAACTTCTTTCACAGCGGGTCGGATAACGAGAAAAAATGGCTAGCGTGGACCAGATAACTGACAAAATGATTCGCGTGCGCCCCATAATCCTGTGTACATGACTTGCATGCCCAAAATAAAAATGTAAAAGACAAAGAAAGCGGCATACTTGGTGTCCGCTTTTCCATCATTAATAGCCTTATTGCAGATTGACAAAACAAGAGCTAAAAAGGTGTTGATTCATAGACATAATACAAATCCCATTGAAACACCGAAGAAACAGCGGAGTAGATATCGTTGCTGGAACTACGGCTCACCAGAGGTACAAGCAAAGTTCCTTGCTATGTTCGTTAATAAACTATACCACATAAGCAGATTTGCAAGCTTATATAATATATATATATATATATATATATATATATATATATATATAGCTATCAATGAGTCACGGGCAATGCTGGTCTTCAGAAAACCAAATATTCCCATTTCATGAATATGAATCAATGTCAGAAATCAGTTCAGGGTGAGAATTCTTTTCGGTAAACTCTCATCGGACCCAAACGTTTACATAACAGTGATTGTGGGGAAAGCGTCAACTGGGGCTGGGATTGACATCTGCACTGTTTGAATGATCAAGATCGATAACTTGAGACAGAGATATAGATGGTAAACCAAGTAAACTAAATAAAAATGCATACACAAAGCTCAGTAGTCCAAAGTAATTAAGTAGGTAAGATAACAGCCAAATAACTAAATAACAGTGTCCGTTGGCCAATGTAGTAATGTCGGCCGTATAAATCGTTGTTGGACACATAATTCCGGCTTTAGATAATGAATGTACATAATCTCGGCGATGGATAAGAGCTGTTTGCGGAATCCTTGGGAGAAGTGTTCAGGTAATGAGTAAATGACTTTGAAGTCATTCTCTGAAGCTGTATGGCCACATTCAAGGAGGTGCGACATGATTGGGCTGTCTGAAGACCTCATTTCGTATTTGTAAAACCATGCCGGGATGTGTTCACGAATCCTCTGAGATAGGCGCCTCGTCGTGCGACCCACGTATCATGCACCACAGGATCATGAGTACTGATAAACGATCATTGAACAGGTCAAAGACGGTAGTCTATTCTTCAAGGGTTTTGTAAGCAACGGCTTATTGTAAAAAACGATTCTCAAGCGGGCCGTGAAATAAGTTTTCTCGACAGCATCTTTTAGGCGTCTGGATAACATATCAGTTGCAGAATCATCCTTAAATTGTATATGTATGAAAAGCTCTTTCTTAGGAGCAATGCTCCTAAGTGGCTTTTGATTGCGTTCCTTCAAATGTTTCATGGTAAATTTATCATGAAAACCATTTTCCCTGAGTTCATCGGTGATTCTCTGTAGTTCTTCGTTGACGGTATCCGGTGTACAAATATTTGGTTGTTATGTTACCTACCTAATTACTTCGGACTACTGAGTATTGTATGCATGTTTATTTAGTTCACTTGGCATACCCTCGAGATCCCTGGCACAAGTCATCGATTTTCATCCTTCAAACAGTCCAAAAGTCAATCCCAACCCGAGTTGACGCTTTACCCAAAAGCAGTGTTATGTAAACGTTTGGGTCCGATGAGGGTTTACCGAAAAGAATTCTTCACCCTGAACTGATTTCTGATATTTATTCATATATAGTTATGGTTTATCGACGCCTAGGTTCCGAATCTGCGGACAATATTGACATTTCGTGCTATGGCGTTACTGAGTCAAATGAACAACTGCTTTAAAATATTTACGGCGTTTGTATTGCCCTCAGAAAAAATGCAGCAGGTAGTCTACTTGAATGGGTACAAGTGTACGGCTCTCCGACCCCGAAACTCTATTGGGGTTAATACGCACTGTCTGAAGACAAGGTGCCTTTCCACCGTTTCTTCTTGTGCGCCGTCTGACTGCAGTTTGGAGAGTACCAAAGCCAATTTATGATACCATATTTCATCCATTATCCTTATGGCGAAAAATTGTTGACACCGTGATTGTTGCTATTGACTTGAATGTCCAAGTAGGTCGTCCTTCAGGATCTGAACAACCTATGGCAGCCCGCTTCGGGGTCGATGAACACTGAAGCGACGATGGTGATCGATTCCTGCAATTACGTGCCGACCATAATCCTTATATAAGCAGCACCAGTTTACAGCACAAACATTCACATCGTGATTCCTGGCGCTCACCGACTTCCTCAATGTCTTGAACCGAAACTGACCATATTACTGTAACTTACGGAAGGCGCATATTCTTCCTTTTGTCCATCAATTTGGAGCGATTGCCTGGATTCTAATCATGTTGTAGTGCGCGCACGCCAGGCGCTGACATTTTCCGCTTCAACGAACTGCCTAACTTCTAAGCTTCTCAGTTGTAACTTGAACTTGTAGTCCGCAACTCAACAATATCACATTAAATTGGCCCACCAATTGCCAGTTATTGATGCGGTCGGTGAACCGAACACTTAATGGAATTGTCTAAAGTGGATTACTATGGTAATTTCTCCCGGAAATTGTCCTTCGGCGGCTTACTGGTCCTCTCTAACGTCGAGTATATGGAAGGTGATTGGCCACATATTCTCCTCGTCAAGTGTTAGAGAAGAGATACACTTCCAAACAGCTGAATGTGTTGGTTTTATTTGTTTTGAAAGGCGTCTTTGACTGCTGATTGCGCCCGCTCGTGAAGGGAACGCCTGGATAACTTTTCATCCTAGTGTCTCTCTACCGTGACTCTCAAAACACAATTAGGGTATACGGGAAGCTGCTACCTGAGTTTCCAAGCAAGAGTTGGGTTCGCCATGGTTGTTTTAAACTTCCTTACCTCCTCAGCTAATTGATCGAAATGACTCCATTGTTTCAGCAACTTCTGGGGTGGAATTCCTGCCCGGTGAACAACTGACAAAACTTGGGTATGCGGACGACATTGCTGTCCTTGGGTCAGACGCAGTGACTGTGCAACACCTATGGATGGACTGAGGTGTAGAGCTGCAGGCCTCGGCATGTACTTTGCACCTTCAACATGCAAAGTGCTGTTGCAGGACTTTGCCGATACATCGCCCGTTCTAGCCATTTCCGATCAGCCACTGGAAGTAGTGGATGAGTTCACTAACCTTGGTAGCTGTGTCATATCTGGTGTATACATCACTGAGAAATTTAATTCGCGTATCAACAAAACTCGTGTGGCTCCTCAGAGACTCAACCATCTGTGGAGACGGTGGAAAATCAGCCTGTTAGTTAAAGATAGGGTGCATAAACTGCGATAGGACCGGTGTCACTGTATAGTTCGGAGACCTAGTCAGTTCGCACTGAAAGCAGTAAACGCCTGGCTGTGTTGGAGTTCCAGTGCATGCGGAGTACTGCTCACATCTGGTAGGAATACCGGGTGAGCAATGCTGAGGTCTGCCAGTTGATTTTCGATAATAAGCCTTCAGGTGCCTCACTCGAGTGTTTGCTGAGTCTAAACCGCTTATGTATACTGGGTATTTTCTTCCGTATGTCCGTCGACTGGCTTCCTCAGGCGTTTCTTTATATACGGTTGCTGCACCCATTTAGGTGAGTGCGTGAGATAGCCAGTTGGTGCTGTGGCATAGGAACATGAAGAAATTAAGAGAATTGGTCAGGCGGATGTGTGCCGTCTTCGTCGATGGGGGCACGAGATCTTCCACACCAGTAGTTTTAAACTGTGAGAAACTTCGTAGTCGTGCAGCGACTGACGCTCCTGAATTCGGTTTCTTTCAATTTGTTGTTAGTTTTCGGTCCCAATTAGTTTTCCGGAGCTCTGGATTCCAGTTTAGTTTATTCCTTTTGCGTTCAACCTCACTTTATTACCGTTGTTGCTTCTTGTTGCTCTGATGACTTGGGTAGTGGTTATTGGATCCAACGCACTTCGGTGCTTGGATTATTGGTATTTCGCCGAACGGTGTTTGCTATCGATGTCCTCCGCATTCGGCCAGGTAAACAGCAGGTGCACTACTCTTAATCGGTCGGCTTCTTTCTGCCACCAATTTTTCAACAAAACGCCATACTAAACGCTTATTTCACTCCCGTTAACTAGTGCAGTGTGCTGGTCTGGAAGTTTGGATGATCTTACTTACCTGGTGACAAAGTAAGCTCCAAATACGATGCACATTTTTATAAGACATTAACGGCAAATAAATGTAGCAGTAGCTGTTTGAATGAGTGATGAATCAGAATTTA